CATTCCGGTAGTAACAAGCCCAGGCATCTGCGGGGATCAGGCAGGGAACCCAGGCATGCTTGCATGCCTGCTCTTTGTCAGGGGGTGTGGCATATGCAAATGAGCTCATAGACCTCTTTTTCTACTAAATGACCCCTGAGTCTAATCTGGGAGAACCAGGTTTGATTCCCTACTCCTCCTGCTGGATGACCTTGGGCAAGCCATAGAAGAGCTCTCTCAGTCCCACCTACCTCACAGGGTGTCTGTTGTGAGGAAGGGAAGGGAAAGGAGTTCGTAAGCCGTTCTGAGACTCCAAGTGAAGGGAGGGGTATAAATCCAGTCTCTTCTTCGTCTTCTTTTTAAATAGATGACTCAACAGCACCAGGATTGGCTGGAGGACTTGGCTATCAGGCTTCTTTGTGTGTTTGCCTTAGATAGATTTGGCGACTTTGTTTCCGATGAAGTAAGTACCAATTTTGGAAAGTGTACTCACTTTGCGCAATAGTTTTAATTTTAAAATTGCCTTTCTGGTGTTCTGTTGGTTGATTTTTCTCCTTAAATCTTAGGTCGTGGCACCAGTGCGAGAGACTTGTGCTCAAACACTGGGAGTGGTGCTGAAATACATGAATGAGACTGGTGTTCATAAAACTGTGGCTATCCCGCTGAAGTTCTGGCACAGGAACAGTGGGAAGTGAGGCATGGGGGCCTGTTGGGGATAAAATATGCTTTGGCAGTTCGTCAGGTAAATGGTTTAAATATTCTTCAAGTGGACATTGCATATTTTATTTCTTCTGTGGGAGTTGCTTACATGTGGTGCTATCCTATATGGCTGTGAATGGATTTAGGGTTGCTGCTGGTTAATCAGAATGTAGGTTAACATTCATTTCCCCTGGTCACAGCCAAGTGACTTGGCTCAGCAGACCAGTTAACACAGCTGGGTGGTTAACTGGGTGCTGGTTAACAAAGCCTTCGGTGTATGATTATTCCAACCAGGGCTGTTTTCCCATCCAGTCAGTGCTAGATGGGAGAGTTTGTTCTAGTTTGGTTTGAGTAAAAAAAAATAGCAGATTTTTGCCAACAGGATACAAAGATCTGCTTCAAAACAATTATACTAGGTAATATCTCATGTAATTAATAAAGTCTCTATCGGTTTTGTACACTTTACAAGAGATATTAGTCCTGTTTGTAGGCTTGCCATCTGCTTTATCCTTTGACCGTTGTTGAAACTGTCTTTGCAGGACTTAATTGAGACGTTATTACCTAAAGTCTTACCAGCAATAACTGAAGGTCTGCAGGATCTGGACGATGATGTCAGGGCTGTTGCTGCTGCATCTTTAGTGCCAGTGGTGGAAAGTCTTGTCTACCTTCAGCCGCAGAAAGTAAGTGCAGCACAGCTGCACTTTAAAAAAAAAAAAATTATTTATTTACATTTTCCATGATATACATACATTTGTCTCTTCTTTATTAACATTTGGGGGTTAATTTACAAATTTTCCTCATACCATTTTATGGCTTTATGCCATTTCTGATTGAATTTATCCTCTAGTTTTCCAGCCAAAAACATGTTTAATTTATCCATCTCTATTACTTCAAAGAGTTTTTTTTATCAGTTCTTCCTTATTTGGTATATTATCTGATTTCCAATTCCTAGCAATACAGATTCTAGCCATTGTAATTAGATATACAATAATACATGTTTCATTATGTTTAATACCATTGGGTGTAATATTTAACAAAAAGATTTCTGGATTTAAAGGTAGATCTATTTCTGTTATATCTTTTATCAATTGCTTAGTATTTTTCCAGAATCTTTGTATTTTTTCACATTTCCACCAAATATGTGTGTTCCTTTATTCTTTTTACACCTCCAACAGTTCCCTGAAACATTTCTATAGCACTTTTGTAGCCTGTCTGGCGTCCAATGCCACCTATATATCATTTTTATTATATTTTCTTTGTACGGTATTGCTCTTAATAACTTGCTTGATTTCCATGATTTCTCCCATTCTTTTCTCTCTATTTTACGTCCCAGGTCTTTTTCCCATTTAATCATAGAAGGTTTTTCCCAATCATCTTTTAATTCTTCTTCTAGTAGTAGATTGTATATTCTTACAATCTGTTTTTCTGTCTCTCGTAACCAGATTTTTTCTAGTTGTGTTTCTTTGGTGTAGAATCCTAATTTTTTATCTCTGGTAAATCTTGAAATTAGCTGGTTTCTTTCCCATATTGAAAGGCTTATATGCATATCCTGCAATGCTTCCCAGGACTTAAGTTCATTTTGTTCGTCTAGTAGATTCTTGTATGTTATATTTTTCTCTTCTGTCATTAATGACGGCATTACAAAGGCCTCTATGGGAGATATCCACTTTGGTATTTTTACATAGTTTTTTCCTCTTATCTGTCTCCATATTTGCATTAGGGGTCCTCTTACTGAGTGGTTAGAAAAGCTCTTCTGTATGTATCATACCACACATAGGCATGCCAACCCATGTGTAGGTCATGACCTCCTAGTTTTAACAATCTTTTATCTTCTAATAATGCCCATTCTTTTATCCATCCTAACGCTGCTGCTTGATAATATAAGTTCCAATCTGGAAAGCTTAACCCTCCTTTCATTATGTTTTCTCTTAGAAATTTTAGTTTTATTCTAGCTCTTTTCCCCTGCCAAATGAATTTCCTAGTCAGCTTGTTTAGATCTTCGATAAATTTTTTATTTTTAAGGATTGGGATGCATTGCACTAAGAAGATAATACGTGGTAGTATGTTCATCTTTATCGTGGATATTCTTCCCATAAATGATATTTGTAGATCTTGCCATCTTTGTAAATCCTTTTTAATTTCCTCTAGTATAACTTTATAATTATTTTCATACAAATTTGCGTTATTTGTAATGTTGATGCCTAAATATTTTACTTTTTTTACTATTTCTTTGTATTTTCTTGTATTTCATTTTTATCTTCTATTGTACAGTTTTTTGTCACTAGTTTCGTCTTATTCATATTCATCTTGAGTCCTGCTACAGTCCCATACTGCCGTATTATTGTTAATAAATTTTTGATTGATGACGTCGGTTCTTCCAAAATGTAGACTAAGTCGTCGGCAAATGCCAATAACTTGAAATGCTCTCCTTTCAATTTTAGGCCCCTTATGTCCTCGTTAGATCTCACAATATCATTTAACGTCTCTAAACCAAATATGAATAGTAGAGGGGAGAGTGGACAACCCATACTGCCGTATTATTGTTAATAAATTTTTAATTGATGACATCGGTTCTTCCAAAATGTAGACTAAATCATCGGCAAATGCCAATAACTTGAAGTGCTCTCCTTTCAAATTTAGGCCCCTTATGTCCTCCTTAGATCTCACAATGTCATTCAACGTCTCTAAGCCAAATATGAATAGTAGGGGGGAGAGTGGACAACCTTGTCTTGTCCCTTTTTCTATGGGGATCTTTTGAGTTAGATCTCCATTAACTATAATTTTTGCCCATTGTTCACAATATATCGATTCTATCATGTTCATAAAGAGGTTTCCACAGTCCCAGAACTTTAATTTTTGTTTCATAAAGACCCAGTTTACATTATCAAAAGCCTTCTCTGCGTCGAGGAACATTAGCGCTAATTTTTTTCCGGGTTGGAATTCATAATATTCAATGATGTCCATTATAATTCTTATGTTTCTCTTAATTTGTCTTTTTGGTAAAAAGCCTGCTTGATCTTGATGAATAACTTGAGAGATAACTTTTTAAAATCTGTTCGCTATTATTGTAGCATAAATCTTATAGTCTACATTCAATAGCGAAATTGGTCTATAGTTTTTTATCTCAAGGCTTTCTGTATTCGGCTTATGGATCAATGAGATCAGGGCTTCATTCCAAGATTGTGGTATCTTTGATGTTCCATAATGGTACACCATAGTGGTGTTATTTCATTTTCTAGTTTTTGATAGAATTCTATCGTGATTCCGTCTGGGCCTGGTGATTTCCTTTTCTTCTGCTTCCTGAGAGCTGCTATTATATCACACGTTGTAATTGTCTCATTTAGTATTTTTCTCTGTGCTTCCGTGAATTTGTTTGTGTTATGTGTCTTTAGGTATTCTTGAATCTCTTTCTCATCTATTCTTTCTTGGCGATAAAGTTTTGAGTATTTCCGATTTATCGTTAATCAGTGCCGAGATTGTTCTCTTTTCGCTTTCCTTTCTTAATCTATAGGCCAACCATCGTGTTGGCTTATTTGCATTTTCGAAATAATAAGTTTTTGCGAATTCTATCTTCTTTGCGCTAATAATATGTTGACCTGATGTTGTATTAATTTTATTTTTATACCTGTCTCTCTACAATTTCCATCCTTTTTCAGCTGTTCTTCTTCCTTTTTAAAGTTCTCTGTCAGGCTTCTATATCTTTCTCGTTTTTGCTTCTTTTTCCAAATATGTTGTGTTGTAAGTAGTCCCCTTACATAAGCTTTTAAAGTGTCCCAAACTGTATTAAGTGATACTTCTTCTGTTCTATTTATTTTAATAAAGTCCTTGATATCTTTTTTAAAATTTTTCTAAGAATGTTTTGTCTTGCAGGAGACCTCCATTCATTCTCCATCTTGTATTTTTGACTGCACTTTAATTGTTCATTCTTCTGATGTTGTTCCAAAATTCAGCTTACATGTTTTGTAAAAGTAACTTTGCCTTGTGTGACTTTTTCCATTGCTGTGCTTAATATTTTTTAGGTACCCTTTATTCTTAATATATTATGGGATGCACTTCTGGAATTGGATGACCTGACAGCTTCTACAAACAGCATCATGACCCTCCTTTCATCCCTTCTGACTTATTCTCAGGTCCGAAAATGCAGGTAATTGTGATCTGCTTCCTCACTGATGGAAATCTCCTCTAATGACCTTAGCTCAGTCAGTAGCAAGTTAAAAATCTAGTTTCCTTGTGATTACATTCTTGAGTTCAAACTCTAATAGCTGTTATTTTCTTCTAGAAGATACTTTAATCTCGGGTTGTTCACTGTTACAATCTATCACTTTGTTAAAACAGAGCAAAGTATCTTGAAAAATTTAATTAAAAAAATTAAACATCTCGATCTATATTATAAGGTGCCTAGATAAAGATGTAAAACTTCCAGAAATGACGGAGCCACAGATAAGCAACATTCCTCCGCTTCCAGAAAAAAAATTAATTATCTAGAAAGAATGCAAAACCTGTAGCTTAGTTTAGAGAGATGACTGTGGAGTTGGTATATGCATTACAAGCAATGCCTCCCTTTTAAAACTGCTTTGAAGTCTGGAAAAACTAATGTTTGCCTTTAGCTCTATAGGTCACTATTTCAAAAGTTATAAATCTGAATATTGTACTAAGTTTTAGAATAATGTCTGTTTCATCTATACTGTTGTATCCTGTCCTTCTGGCTCACTGCCGTATTTGGTTCTCCTTTCTCCATTTTTTCTGTACAACAATCCTTTGAGTAGTTGAGGCTAAAAGACTTTATCTGCCATTGTAAGCAGAGTTGCACCCTTCTAAGTCCATTGAAGTCAATGAGACTGTGAGTGATTAGTCCAGGGTCACCCAGTGAGTTTTATATGAGAGTGGGTATTTGAAACCAGGTTTCCCCAGTTGTGTTCTGTTCATTAATGTATTCAGTAGTGTATCACCAGCTTAAACTTTAAATGTCCTAATAACTGGACACTTGTTTACCTCTGGATTTCAGGGAGTTCGCACAGAATTGGAACTTGCTTTTCTACATTTTAGCAAGCTAGCTTGTTTCTTGATTTGATATGTGCATTTCTAAACACAGACTAGATTTCAGGCAGTATTTTAAAAGCGTTTCAAAGTTAAAAAAAAAATTTAAGAGTGGTTGGAGTTTTTCCACTGGAAAAAACATAAGTCCTGGCTGGGGAGCAGAGGTAGACAATTGGTTTCTTTCCCAATTTTTTTCAGTTCAGTCTCCCTGAGCCTTCATATCCCTGTGCCTCAGGGCTAAGAGATAGGGTTGCTACAAAGAGACACAAATTGGAATACGTAATTTAAGTCGGGTTTCATTCCTGTACATCTAGAGTATATGTTCCTAGGTACTTGGGTTGCAGGTACCACAGGGCTAGGTACATAATGATGAAATCAGTAATTTTGGATGACTTAAGTGTGCATGTGTGATCTTAATGAATTGATTTCTTGAATTACAAAAGGCACAGTGGGCCTCTGATGTTGTAGGGGTTGTTGCAGAAGTGGTTGACATGCTTTGGCTGTATAATGTCTCAAATTCACTCACTGGCATTTCCTCTTCTACGTGATTGGGAATGCAATTATAAGCCTAAAGTAGTAGAAAAATACTTACAGTGATCCTGGATATGGGAAAAGCTTATGTTTTCCTACAGAGAAGTAATCAGTTCTCTGTGTTGAGGATCTAAATGACCCAAAACACAGTTTAAACTTTACCAAATTACAACAGATTTATAAAGGAAAAACATTAAATGTTTTGTGCAAATTTTAAGTAGTATACAACGTTGTGTGCAACAATAAACACACACACACCATTCTGTGAATAAATTAAGAAAACAATAAATCTGCATATCTAGTAGGTAAGGCACTAACATCATTTTCAGCTGTTGTAACATAAGTAAAAAATACATACCATTTTCCCACAAAGTAGGATTTTTGAAGAGGGGTTATCTGTGTTTAGCAGTTGAGATGCTATCTTGTCCATCACTATGATGTCCCATTTTTAAAAGGTGAAAACTTACACTGAACTCCGTAATATGTATATTGCATTGATATAGTTGTTAAAATAATTAACTATCAGTACCGAATGTTCACATATCCAGCATGCTTTGGAATTTTGTTGATGCTTCACTGCTACACACTGGAATATGTACTGATACTGTTTTGGTGCTTGTTCAGGTATTACTTTCCAGGTAGAACTCTTAAGCCAGTTAAGCCTCTGCTGTACACTGAACTCAGTCTGTCCCAGGAAAGGATGGGTACATTTTAAATCAAGCGCCTATCAAGAAACCTTGTCCAAATCAACATGGTTCAGCCCAGTTTATTTTTGGCTTCTCCCTGCAGTAAATCAGAAGGCTATACAGCTGGACACTTTTGCAGGGGTTGGAATAAACTCTGTATAGTTTCATCCCAGTACTTAGAAACATAGTTATTAAAAGTTAATTTTTTTTCCTACACCATATTTGGGTTTTTTCCCTATCTGGCACCAGTGTCATATTAGTAAAGGCCTTTCTGCAAGTGTAGTTGTAGTAGGATGGAAAGCTTGGAGAGCCGCTCTGACTGTGTGGGAATAGATGAAACAATGGTTTTAGTTAATATTCCTTACAGTGTACTCCTATATAGATTATTCCATTTTATTTAAATGAATGGGTTTAGAGTGGAGGAACTCTGCATAGGGTTGAATTGTAAATACCTTAGTTTTATGATGTATAGAAAGCACTTTGCTTATTTTTATAGATGTACCATTAGGATCTTTTATTTTAAAACATATATCTTCATTACCAATGAGAATTTGACTTATTTTATTACTCTTCATTTTTATTCTAACCCACCTCAGTATTCAGCAATCACTCACGGTTCTGGTACCACGTGTGTGGCCATTCCTACATCATACAATATCATCTGTTCGAAAAGCTGCACTGGAAACTCTGTTTACTTTACTGTCTACAGAAGATCAGGTGACTGGTTATCTTCTGGCTAATTTTAGGAGAATGAGAGTAGGAAAATTTTATCTACGTAACTTCTAATTTATGCATAAGTACTGTATTGATTTAATTTCTATGTCACTTTCCTTTAAAATTGAAGACGTTTACATAATATGAAAATTAACAAAATGCAGAAACAATTAAAAACATAATTTAAAACAAACATAATTCTACGGATAGCAAAAGTAGTCAGATAGCAAAAGTAGTTTGTGAAAAATTAATGTGTCTCAATTCCAACCTGTAGTTTTATATATGTTGCCTTTCCCATTATCTCATGATCTTTGGAATTTTCTTCACTTGTTTCTAGAGTTCTGCAGCCTGGCTTATTCCCATTTTGCAAGACATGTTAAGGCATATCTTTCAGTTCTGTATTTTAGAAAGTAATCAAGAAATTCTGGAGCTCATTCATAAGGTAGGCCTTCTGTTGTAATTTAAATTTTCCCATAGTTCTGATTCCTTGCTTGCTTTGTTATGACCTATATCTTGGTTTTAGGATTAGCTAAACTTTATTGGTTTGTGCTGCACAGTATCAGATGCAGTTTGTATTTTGTGTGCTGAAAAGTCTTATGGAAAAGTTTATCAGAAAGATTATCAGAAAGACCATGTATCTTTTCAATTGCTTATAAATGTGTTCTTGTGTAGGTGTGGCTGGAATTGTTAAGCAAGGCATCTCTGCAATACGTGGTAGCAGCTGCTTGTCCGTGGATGGGAGCTTGGCTCTGTTTAATGATGCAGCCTTCTCACTTGCCTATTGACTTAAATATGTTACTAGAAGTGAAGGCCAGATCAAAGGTGAGAAAAAACAAACTGTAGGTTTGGAGGGGGGGGAAATTGTTTTGACCAGATGTCACAAGTATTCGACTCTAGCTACCAACGCAAGAACAGGCTCTTCTTTTAAATTTTAAAAGATTCAATATACTCTGCTTATCTGCACTTCTCCTTGATAGGACCTAATACTTGAAAACCCAATCTTGGTCTGTTTTTAAAAATAGCTTTAGTTTTGGTCCTTTTCATTTAGCTCTTAAAAGATATTGCCAAAATAATTAAGTAGGAAGGCCAGTTTCAAATAATCCAAGCTTAACCCTCCAGTGTCTGTTGAGTCTCTGAGGCCTGGTCTGTATGATGATGACATGCCTTACCTGCTCGATGGCTCATGTGCACATTGCAAAGTCCTCATGGCCACCACAAAGAATTTCAAGTCAGATATCCACCTGGACTTCCATGCTCAGAGCCATTCCCATATGTGCATGGTCCCAATTCAGACTGGGACCACGGCACATGGGACTTAGGTCCGTCTGCCATTCCTAACATGAAACAGCCTCAGGGAGCCACTGTTTGCCTCTCTGGACAAACTTGCATGTACTGAGGGGTATGCATATGTTTTCCCACTGTGGCAAATATTGACTCCCTGGGGCCATTTCAGGTTGGGAAAACAGTATGCAGAGGAAGGCTTAAGTCCCCTCTCCCTGTGATCCCAACCTGAATTGTACCCACTGATGTGTAGGAATTAAGTTCTGAGTGCCAAACTTCCTGCACATGTCTGATCGAAATGCGTTTGGTGGCCATGAGGTAGCACAACCAGCCCTCAGACTGGACATTCTGCTTTCCTTTTTAGTTGTACTGTTTGGATGAGCAGCCTCTAAAAAATAATAAATGCTGTTCATGCAGAGTGATGATGTGATACTGCTATTAATTGGTCTGTTCATACTGCAAATGCCCTATCATTGTGTGGCTTGAATAGCTTTTGTGGACCATTGGGGCTATTTTTTGTTTATATTTCTCCAGAATGATACTGCTGAGCATAATATGGTTTGCATTTTCTTAATTCACCTGCAATTATCTTTCATTCAGGAATCTAAGTAGGTAGTACATAGTGTTTAAAGTAGCTGGAGTTAGGTAGGTCAGATACCTCAAACTTCATTGTGGAGTACCTTCCTGAGTCAAACAACCATTATGAAGGCTCAGGTTTGTGGTTGAAGTGAAGATGAGCTCATCTCATCTCCAGCATAGAGCTGAACAGATAAATGGAAAAGTGTGAAGTCTTGCTTTAGGATTCTCAAGGGAAGGAAGTCCAGGACATCCAAAGAAATTTAAAGAGGAAGGAGTTGTTCCTTTGACAGTGGAAATGTGACATGTATGCATGATGTGCGTAGGGCAAAACCTGTTTTGTTTAGGGAACAGAAGAGTGAAGGTATACAGTTCATTGTTGCCTGAAGCCAAGTGTTCCCACAGAGTTTTTGGAGGAGAGTGAGCATAAATGCCTCCTAACTGATGTTTGCGTGATACAGCAACAAGTGCCTCACAGATTATAAACACTGCCACTTAATACCACTGAAGGTCTAAGGAGTTGGAGCAAAAGAGCCACTAAAGCAGAGGTGGCCAAACTTGCTTAACTTAAGGGCCACCTAGAATAAATGTCAGAGGTTTGAGAGCCACAAGACAGGAACAAATATTACACATATGCTTTTACTGAAAATATGCACATTTGCTTTTTATTAACATTAAATGAGATGCCAAAAATAAAACAAAAGGTAAAAACAGATATTGATAATATTTATTTGTCCAATTACATTTGTTTGCTAATGATATTAGTTTGTCTAAGAGAGAAAGAGAGGTGGAAAGAAAGAATGAAACAGGTGGAAAGAGAAAGAGAGAGAAACAAAGAAAGCAAATAGACGGGGGAGGGAGGGAAAGGAGATAGTGAAATAACTTTAAATGCATCCTCCAAGCCCCCCCCCCATGCCAGCTAGTTTGGCTTGGAGAAGGGGTTTAAAGAGACAAATGCTTTCTCCAAGCCAGCCAGTGCGGGGAGGGGGGAGGCTTTGAGAACACCTCCCCCACCTCAAGCCTACCCATGGTGAGGAACACTGGCTGGGAAAGGGAAGACCAATCAGGGAGGCATGCCTCCCCTTCACTTTTCCAGCCTCCCTGCCGAGAGCCACATAATATGTATGAAAGAGCCACATGTGTGCTCCCGAGCCACAGTTTGGCCACCCCTGCACTAAAGTAGCTGACTGATAAGCAAAACACCCCTTTAAAGTACTCTAGCTTCTCCAAGGGTTACAATTATTATATAAAATCAAACCTGGTTTGGGGAATGTTTGGGTTCTTAAGTAGGCCTAATCTGAGATTCTTAATGGGCTGGATAGGAAATGTTGTATTTGAAAGAGCCACATGTCGAAGCATCATTTCTTCTCTTGTTTGCAGGAAAAAACTGGTGGCAAGGTGCGGCAAGGTCAGACGCAGACTAAGGAGGTGATTCAGGAGTACATTGCTGGAGCAGAAAGTGTTGCCGAAGATCCAGCAACCAGGGATTATGTTGTTATGAGAGCCCGAATGATGGCAGCAAAGTCAGTTTGTTGTTCAAAATCTTAAATCAGTTGTTAAAAGCAATAAGAGTTTATAGATTAGACCAGCTTTTTATAACCCAGTTCAAGATAGATTGTACAGAACCTGATGTTGCTGCAAATGTAATGAATATAAAATCCATTATTGTTTTTTGTTCCAGATTGCTTGGAGCACTTTGTTGCTGTATTTGCGATCTGAGTGTGAATGCCGTTACTCAGGAAATAAAGCCAGCTGAATCGCTAGCCCAGCTATTGCTTTTCCATTTGAATTCCAAGTCCGCTTTGCAGAGGTTTAGTGTTGCATTAGTAATCTGTGAGTGGGCTGCTTTGCAGAAGGTACGATGCCTACAGTAGCTAAAATTTGTGTTTTTCAAAGTTAAATAATTTCTCCCTTTGTTTGATACAGTATGATAATGGAAAGGTAGCACATAAGAAAAATGTTAATGCTGTCAGCTACCTGATAATGCAAGATTCCATTTTAAAATTTTAAATAAATGACAGGACTGTGATTCTGTAGGCATTCTTCTAGTGAGACAGACTTTTTGGCCAGAACAGTTGAATCCAATGCCGTTATCAAAATTAGCTTTCAGAATTCCCTTGAAATTCAGAAGTGGGTAATCGGTCCTAATTAGTGGGTGGTGCTTTAAAAGACATAAGCCACCAGTTCTATTGAGCACACTATTTACTCGATACATGGGCCTCTTGGATCCTATGCATTTGGTTTCTGCAATTTTGATTAGTACAGTAAATCTTTGAACCACAGTGTGGATTAATTTTATCTGTTGCAGATTGGTCCATATTTCTGTTTCATTGTCCCTAAAAGCAGAAAATTACACTTGTGATATTTAAAGTGGTTTCACGTTTGTTTTCAGGAAAATAAAGCTGTGGCTCTTGCTGTCCAGTCACGTTTACTTGAAGTCCTTTCAGAGCATCTTTATTACGATGAAATTGCTGTTCCCTTCACGCGAATGCAGAATGAATGTAAACAACTCATCTCCTCATTTGCTGATGCAAACATTGACATTGGCAGCCGAGTAAACTGTAGTGTGTTTACAATAGATCAAGCTAATGAATTGGTGAGTGAACTGAAAGAGCTACCCTCAGTGTTTTGATGAACAGTGTGAAAAGCACCTGAACAGCAGTTCTGGCCTATTCAGTTGTTGCTGAAAGTACTTATTTAAAGTAACCTACACAAACGGGTGTATTGACTGCAGGCACATCATTAATCAGTACTTTGGAAAGCACTAACAGCTATTAGGAAGACATTGCCTCATATGTTGGTGTGAACCTATAAGATGAGAGAGGAGAAGCATTCCTTTGTCAGATGATCTTCATTTTGGAGAAGGGACTGTGCTAATTTTTTTTTTTAGCATTGCAACTTCTTAAGGATTAACTACTAAGCAGATTCTTGGATAATGAGGCTTTGAATTCGAGTTGTGTTAGCCATCTTGTCTTTAAAGAGTACACTAGTTTTAGTGGCATGTTGCTCTAATCCAGTGGTTCTTCACCTTTAATCCACTATCGCCAATCAACTAGGCAATGTTACCATTGGCCACCATAAAAAATAAGCAAGCTGAGGTGTAGGAGTGGGTTTCTTTTCCAGTTTTCCAATCCCTCGTAGGGGTGTGCACTTGGCTATATCCAAGCTGAAAAAATATCCAAAAAATACCTTATCTTTATTTACCAGCTATTCTTCAGCTGGATGTAGGTTTGGGTATTTTTTTTTTCGGCTCTCCAAAATGTCCGAGCCCCAAAAATCCTGAAAATATTTGGGATTTTTTTGGAACTGCTGGATAGTTGAAGGGCTTTTAAAGGGGTTGCAGTCCCTTTAAACACCTTCTGGGTAAACTCACTGCATGGAGAAGGTGTTTAAAAGGACTGCAACCCCTGTAAACAACTTCAGAGTTCACCTGCAGCTTGGAGAAGGCATTTAAAGGAACCACAATCCCTTTAAACACGTTTTTTTCTCCACTGAAACCAATGGAGTATGGGGGCTCCTTTGGGGGCCCATAGAATTGGACCTCCTGGTCCAGTTTTTTTGAAAGGGGGGGGGGGGGGGGTTGAGGCGAGGCACCAGCAGCTATGCTGCAAAGCTCCACCCCCCCGAGTCCCAGATACCCCCAGATCAATTCTCCATTATACCTTATTGGGACCATTGACTGTAATGGTCCCCTTAGGGTATAATGGAGCCGAAAGAATTTGGGGTTTCCAAACACACACACACCCCAATCCGAATACCATACCAGTATTGTGATTTGGGAATATAGGGAATTTTGGGAAAGATTTATTTATTTTTTGGTTCAGTATATCCAAACCCAGAAAATACATATATACACCAAATCTGAATTCAGTCCTTGTGCCTGATGATCATCAGCCAAATCATTAGAGTTGGGGTTGATTCTTGTTTGTGTGCCATTTTTAAGGGCCTGTGGGAGGAATCTGGGTTTTTTTCCCCTTGAGACTCTGAAATTGGTGAGAAAAGACTGCTTAAATCCAGAATGCCCACGGAGGTCTGTAGAGTACCCCTGGGGCACTGTATAGTCCCCTTAACCACTTCTCTGATCAATATCTTGTTTGAAAGAATATATTTAAGTATATCTGACACAGAATAGGGTAGGAAAAAGACAATAAAGAGACTCTTAGATGAACAAGCTGTTGTTGCCAAGCGTGAACATAGGCAGTATGAGAGAGTTCCTTAGAAAGGACAGATCTATCAGTGGCCATGGTAGCCGAGGGGAACCTCCACATTCAGAGGCACTAAACCTCTGAATCCCAGTGCCAGGAGGCAACATCAGGGGGAATGCCTCGACCTCTCTACCGTGTTGTTGGCCCCCAGAGAAACTGGTTGGCCACTGTGTGAGACAGGATGCTAGACTAGATGGACCACTGATCTGATCCAGCAAGGTGGTTCATATATTCTCTCTCTCTCGTCTTGGAATTGTGAGGAAAGACGCAGGGTAAGCTGGCCTGCAGGATTCTTCAGCCCTGCTCTGGCTACTGGTAAAAGAGTTCCGTGTGTGTTTGTTTTTTGAGGTTCCAAAACAGGAAGAGGGAGAAAGCAATATGCATGTACCTTCAGTAAGAAGGCCATAGTGTTCTTGAATATCTCTGCCACATCTCCTACTTCTAAAGACAGCAGCAGCTGTACCATAGGGTTTCCTTGGGAAGAATACAATACTGTTTTTTCATTCACTTAATGTTAATGCCAGTATGATAATCTCTGTTAAAACTGTTCCCAAGTCTTTTGTTTGATCAGGTGAAGCAGAGGAAGAGGTCCATGGTAGCCTGTATTTGTGTCTCCATACCTGTTTCTGACAAAATCCTAATTCGCTGCTGCCTGTTTGTCTGTAGTTCAAATTCTTACTTGATAAAGTTACTGACCATAGGGTCATTATAAAGGCCTGTAGATTGCAACTTCTAATAATTAGTCTTTTAAGGCATCGGGTATGCTGTCCTGAAAGAAGGGGTCATAACTAAATGAACAATAGTGGGAAGAAATTTCTCAGAAGTTTCAAGGGCCAGCTATAACAGCACTGTAAGGGTAGAATTTTTCAGTTCATTTATGTTGGAGCTGCGGTGGCTCAAGTGGTTAAGACGCTGAACTGCAGGCTGTGGAAGGTCAGTAGTTCAGCAGTTCGAGACCCGGGTTGCCGCATGACGGAGTGAGCTCCCGTCTCTAGTTCCAGCTCCTGCCAACCTAGCATTTCGAAAGCGAGAAATTGCAAGTAGGTAAATAGGTACCACTTCGGTGGGAAGGTAACAGCGTTCCGTGCGTCTTGGTGTTTAGTCATGCCGGCCATATGACCACGGAAATGTCTTCGGACAGCACTGGCTCTTCGGCTTTGAAACGGAGATGAGCACCGCAACCCTAGCTTTCGAGCAAGGGAACCTTTACATTTATGTGTTTTTGTCTAATATTGGATAGGGCATTAAGGAAATCTTTTTTTGGGGCTGAGCATTTTCTGTGTGTGTGTGTCTGGAAGTCATGGTTGACTTCTGGCAACCTCTACTGAGGCTTGGACGTTTCAGAGAGGTGGCTTGCTGTTGCCTGGCTCTGCATCCTTGCCCTGGTATTCCTTGAAAGTGTCCCATCCAAGTATTTGCCAGGGTTGGCCCTGTTTATCTTCTGAGATCTGATGAGATCGGGCTTGTCTGGGCTATCCATGGCAGGGCATTAAGGAAATCAGGGTGTTATGCACTATCCCCACACAATGCTTTCCACTTCTGATTTCTGGCAATTTGTTTTAAAGTATCATAAACACTGGGATGACATACAGAGTCTTTTTCTTGCTCTGTATGTTTCATAAATGCAGCCTTTTATTTTGAATTTGGATATAGTATGGGTACTAACTTCTAGGACCTTCTGTGTTTAAGCAATTGTTTTAGTATCCTCCCAAAGTAGCTTGAGCAATTTGCTTTTGATAGAAGCATACTTAAGTCTGAATTTTCTTTTTCCTAGGTCACTACCATCTTCAGTGAATTTACATCCTCTTTTAATTTAAATCCTAAAGTCTTACAGCAATTGGAAGGCAAGAGACAACAAGTCCAAATGACTGTTACAGAAACAAATCAGGAATGGCAAACACTGCAGCTACGAGTGCATACCTTTGTTGCTTGTGCTGTTGTGAACCTGGAGCAACTTCCAGAAAAATTAAACCCTGTGATAAAACCTCTGATGGAGGCTGTGAAGAAAGAAGAGAACACACTAGTGCAAAATCATGCAGCTTTGTGTATTGCTAAGTTACTTCAGCAGTGCACAACAAGGTCTCCGTGTCCCAATTCAAAGATTATTAAAAACCTTTGCAACTCACTCTGTGTGGACCCACATCTTACACCTTTAGCATCATGTCCAGCCCAACCCCAGAGTGTCCATGAAAATGCAAAAGGTATGTTAACCAGCTGTCAGTTCTCAGGTTAGTTGAGACATCAAACTTTGGTTCCTGTACAACTTTTGGAGTTGAGGGCAGGAGCTGTTGCTGTACCAAATCAGACTACTGCAATATAATTCAGGAGAAACCTCAGCAAAGGAGGATGCCTAAAAATACTCTGGAATTCATAGTTCAGTGTTGGGGAGAGATACTGTTTCAACAAGCTGTGAAGTTAGGCTGCAGAGAATCTCAAAATGCCAAAGAAAATTTCCAGGTATCAGTTCTGAAGAATGGGAAATCATTACAGAAGCTCCTAAAATGCATTGTTTAAATTTGCTGGTTCCTGTTGACCACTCACTGGATGTACTTGATCACACAGCTATGCTTCTGCCGTTTTCAAAGAAGCATTTCAAACAAATAGCAAGTTTGTTCTCAGATAGGCATGGGATTCAGTAACCATGATGAGATCAGTTGCATCTTACCATAAGGGAGTGGATAGACCTGAGCCTCTCTTCTAGGAACTGTCTTGGATGAAAGAGAAGGCTTTAAAACAAGCCTTTTGTCAAGTTGGTTATACCTGGTTTGTACTGTACCTTGCTTACATTCCACCATAGTAGTACTTCAAACAGCTTGTTATCGTGCCCTGCTGAGTCTTATTGTTTCCATGTTTTGTCTTTCATATTTTATTAGGAAACTGATAATTTCTTCTAACACCCCCTCCCCCAAAAAAACCCTGTAGGCAAAAAAACAAGCCAGAACCAGCAGGGAAAACCAGAATTAATATGCTGGCACATCTTCCATGTAGTTTCTTAAAACTTTCAATTATCTTGTTTGTTCCAGGATCCAATTCTGAAAGAGGTGGGATGCATCATACAGTCACCAAGCACAGAGGTATAATCACACTGTACAGGCATCAAAAAGCAGCATTTGCCATCACAAGCAGACGAGGTCCTACACCAAAGGCCACAAAAACTCAAATTGGTGATCTGCCCACCAGTAGCAGTGGGAATATGATCACAGAGCTTGATGAAGTGAGTGCAGACCTTAAATTTTCTGTTTTTCTAAATGCATTACAAAGTATTCCACTATACGTGTGTATGACCTATGGTTTTGGTTAGAAAAAGGAAATGTTTATTTATATATATATATATATATATTTCGATTTATATACCGCCCTTGACCCCGAAGGGTCTCAGAGTGGTTTACGAAGAATATACTAATTGTTCCTAATCTAGGGCCACAATTCATATGGGAAGGGGCTGCCGACCGGCACCCAGCGGCACGTTCTGTTGTTGTTTCCGGGCGGGCTTCTGATGTTGCTTCCGGCACCTCTGATGGGCCGACGGCATCCTCGGCAGGCTTCAGATGGAGTTCCTCTGGCGCGCAGCTGCTCCAACTGCGGCTCCGGCTAACATCCCTTAGACTCTGTCGTGCTGCGTCTTCGCACCATCGCTGTTGCTTTTTAAATACTATCATTTTCTGTCAGCGCTTCAATGGGAACAAAAGAGATCTCACACAGGAAAGCATAGGTTTCTCCCTTTCTCCATAGCCGATCCTGTTTTGCTTATACTCTGGATTCAGTGCTTGTAATTCTGCACTTCTGGATTTCCCCCCCAGGAATCGCAAAATATGCAGATCATGCCTTTTGCATCTACAGCCAAACACCACCTTTTTTTGCTTAATTGTGGTTAACATCACCTGTGCCCTGTGGGAGGTGGTGTCCAGTTGCCAATGTCTTGGCCAAGTGTCCATTCAAGGGCTGGGGAACACCCCATCCTCCCCTTTCTCTCCTCTCCTCCCCGCTCTCAGCCTTTTTGGCTCACTGCCGCTGGGCTTTTCCGCCTCCTTCCCCCGTGCCTCATTTGGGGCACCGGCAAGAAGCCACATGGAGCTGTTTGTTGTGGCAGGGATCCCTCCCCAGGTGCTCTGGCCCTGGTGGGTCTTCCTGGCCACGGAGGTGGGTCTTCCTGGCCACGGAGGGCTCCGACTCTCAGCCAAGGAGCCTTGGAAGCAGGAAGGGTTTGATGCCCTCACTCATTCTCCCGCCCGTCCCACATGCAGCGTCCCAGTGCTCTGCACAGAGCATGGCAAGTCCCTTGTTCTCTGCTGTAAATTTGTCATTTTAGGGGCAGCCATCTCACAAGCTATTTTGGACCACTGAACCAAATGCCTTCAAACCTTTCCCATCCCGGTGTCAGTTTCATTCCATGCTGACATTCACCCTTCTTTATTTTTGTTCATTTTTGCATCCTCGTTCCATCCCTGGCTCCTTATGCCTTCAATTTAAACCCTCCTTGTTCAGTTCCATGAATGAAACTAACATGGGGAAATGGCCACTGATTTGACCAAGCTGGCATGCAAGCGATGGGACACACCGCAGCCTCCCCTTTCTCTTCTCACTCCCCACCCTGCTTGGCTCGCCACTGCTGGGCTACTTCAGGTATGGGTGACCCATAAAGGGATGCGAGCTCAGAGTTTGGCTGGTCTGTTGGTTAGTTTGTGCTTCAGTGGCGGCTGCCATGGTGGTGATTGTGGAGTTGTGGCCGGGGCTGGTTGGGGACGCGGTTCCTCCAAGGGGTTGAGGGGAGGGGGAGAAACCTTTCCAGCAGAAACAGTTCCAGAGATTAGGGTTTCTCATCTTGCAGGGAAAAGTTCAATAGATGTTTCACTCCCTCCCTCCTCCTGCCTCTAGCTTTGTGTTGAACCACCTATTGGGGGGAGGGGCAGACAGCAGCTCCCGGCAACGGGAAGTGGCACTGCTGGTGTGGTGAAGCTGTCTTTGCAAAGCCCCCCCCCCCCCGAAATCTGTCCCTGCTTTTCCTCCAAAAGTGAATCAGTGAAAGAGAAAAGACAGATTTAAGCCCAACCACGCTGCTGATTGCCTCCCTGTACCAGGTGTAATCAGCATAGTTGAGCTCAGCACCGTGGCCATTTCACAGCATGCAGAGTGCCTTTTGGCATTTGTCCCCATGGCCATGGCACCCTGTGCTTGCAAACATGGAAGTCCTTGGGGAACCACTTCAGAAAAAAGCTCCCATTCAAAGCATGTGCCGTGCCCACGCAGTACTTTCCCTTCAGTTGCAAACTGACGAAAAACTCCCTGGGAGGATGCAGAAAAGGTTAGTCGGAGGAGTGGCCTCCAAGGGGGTCAGAAAAGGGGTGGGGAGAGAAAATCCAAGGCAATATTTATGCATTTAAATTACTCCGGCATGGATTGGGGGGGGGGGCGTAAAATTTGCAGCAAAACAGCATTCAGAAAACCTGGGTAAATAATGGAGTGACACCGAACTGAGAGCTGAGCAATGCAGAATTAAAAAATAACCAGATGGAAATGCAGGGCGAAACCGGGAGGCAATGCAGAACTAAAAATATACCGTGAAGCAAAAGCGGTAGATGATGCAGAACACAAATTTTACTGGGAAGCAGAACAGCTGTGAGTGTGGGGAAAAACCCTGTGCAGAAAGGGTTTCTTTTACTCATGATGGCTGGTTCACACAGGCCTGTACATAATCTGAGCATTCACAGCTGGATGAATTTGAAAAGCATTGTATTATGTGGTGATAATAAGTGATAGAACTGTTCGGACTTAGTATTAATTTACCGGTGTGCATCATCAGTGGTGAGTTTGTGTGAAGTATCCTTTTAAAGCTGTTTTTTTTGGGGGGGGGGAGTGTTCCAACCCTTTTATCATTCTAGTTGCCCTTTTCTGCACTTTTTCCAATGCTATAATATCCTTTTTGGGTGTGGTGACCAGAACTGTACACAATACTCCAACTGTATACAGTAGTCCAAATGAGCCTGATTAATTTGGGGGAGACTATGTAGTTAGAAGTGTACTGTGTTCTTCATGACTAGCTTCCTAACTCTTTTATACTGACTTTCTGTAATTCTAGGCCCAGAAACCCTACGTTGTGCAGAGGAGAGGTGCAGAATATACTTTATCCACTATTGCAAAACATTTTGGCGGTGAAATGGCTGTGGGCTTGCCACATCTCTGGGATGCTATGGTTGGTCCCTTAAGGAATAACATTGATATAAACAACTTTGGTATGTGCATTTCTTAAAATGTGGGCATTCTAAAAAATTGCACTTTAAATATTCTCTGATATGGCATATTTCTTGCAACAGATCTAAAGCTGCTCTTGGAAAAGGGAGATGGCCCAGCCCAGGAATTGGTGAATTCTCTACAGGTTTTTGAAACAACAGCCGCCTCTATGGATGTTCAACTTCACTCTTTGGTAATTAAGTTGTGACACAATTTCAGTTACTAATATATATTTAAATGGTATGCGTTTGTATGGATTTTCAAGGTGATTTTTGTTTTTTTCGCATTCTAAAATAAAAAGTTGTTAACAGTCTGCAATTCAGGCTATTGTGAAATGAAATTATCTGAAATTAGAGTCCTTATGTTCAGATTGTTTTTGTTCTTAGTCAAAATGGAGCACCAGCTAGTCAATCAATGTTCACTGTTGTTGAAAAATACTACTTTCTGTAGCTTTAAAATGTTTTCAGTGAAATTCTCCCTCTAAGCCGTGAAGTCTTGTGAGCAAAAATTCTACTTTGTGAGCTACTGGCATTAAAGTTGTGAGTGAGCGATTTGGCTGCTGCATAAACTAGTTTGCTCTGGAGCCATATTTCCTGAGCTAAGACAAAAATGTGTGAGCTGGAGGCTAAAAAACTGTGAGCTAGCTCACACTAACTCAGCTTAGAGGGAACACTGATACAAACACTTTTGAGTATTTTTCACTGAGATGGACTTGAAAGGAACTTCAGAAGTAAAAGCTTTTAAGCTGCTGAATGTTTAATATGCTCTGATTTTCACTTTAATTCTGATAAAAATAGACACCATTTTACTTATTTTTCTGCTGTATTGGAGAGCATTTGTTCCAGGCACATCTGGACAAGAGGCTGATAAGTCAGAAGGGGTGGGATGGGGAATTTACTGTAGTAACAATATAGTAAAAAGAGCTCTTGTGTCTTGGAAGAATATCTGATATTACATGGGTCACAATATTTTGGTGAAATAGTCCCTTGAATGGATTTTAAGTTGATTATAAATAAAACTGAAATACTATTTCCTTTTGCAGTTGGTCCAGCACTTGCCTTATCTGTGTATGTGCCTTCAACACCCCAACACTGCAGTGAGACACATGGCTGCTCGTTGCGTTGGTGTAATGAGCAGAATAGCTACCATAGAAACCATGCACATTTTCCTGGAAAAGGTTCTTCCTTGGCTGGGTACTATAGATGACAGTACCAAACAAGAGGGTGCAATTGAAGCTCTTGCTTGTATCCTTTCCTAAGTAAAGGCAGAATTACTCCTGTGTTCACTACCAAGTATGCTCCATCTGTACGTTGAAGAGGAAGATTTAATAAACTCTGTGAAGCCTAAGGATCAACAAAACAGGAATAATTTTAAGAGCATATGAACTTGACCAAATTTGGTTGTGAATATATATCATAATTGTGTCGAAGCAGAGTTTTTCGCTTCTGACTGGCCTGGTGTAGAATGGTTCTAGTTTTGGTAAAACAAAGAGTATTTTGTAATGGCAAAGTATGTTCCATTTCAGTATCTCTGTTTTGCCTATAATTCTGGGTTGACATATGCCATAGAACTATGGTACTACATACAAAAGTGTTTTGGAAACACCATTTCAGCCTTGTAACTTTTCCTAATGATTACAGGGTTTTTTGCCTACCTTCAGAAGTATGTTAAATAGTCCATTCTCTTGGCTTCCAGTAGAAGATATTCTTAAGCTGTTTAGTATGAAGTTTATCTGTCTTCACTTGTTAGAAAGAGAATGTACACCTGGGTAGCCTTACTGTGATATTCATTTTCACGGGAGCCAGTTTCATCTGATTGTGCTTTTTATAAGCCAGTGTTAGTTTATTTGTCTAAAATTGTGTTGTGCTGGGGTCCAGTGTTCAAAATTCACCAACCTTCAGTAGCACCCTGGGGGCTCAGTATCCTGGTTGTCAAGGGGATAGCCCTTTGGATCCCAGTCACAATCTGAATATTTGACTAAATACAGTGCAAAACTTGCTGCTTGTTAGGTATGTGCTAAATGGCAGCAATAAGCCACTTTATGTGGAAGTGTTCAAAGAAAGCATAGTCTGTATTTTGCTATTCATCATAAAGCTTTGTGTCCAGTTAAAGACACTTCCATTTGGATGGGTTAGGTTTAAAAAAAGCCTGTTATATCGTAGGTAGTGCCAGTCTCTATATTATAGACGAGTCAGTATGAATTAATATTGGTTTGTTCTGCAAAATAAATATGACGGTTACTGCTGGTCTTGTAAGGGTCAGCATTGCATTACATAGTTTCACAAGTATCTAACCTGTAACATTTTGTGCTATAACTCCTTTCTGCTTTTTCCCTGATGCTTCAGCACCCCCAGTTTATGGGAACCAGTGTGGATCAGAAAGAAATCCCAGATTAAACCAGGATGTTGGATGGGGAAGATGAGACGTGGAGTTCTTGGGGTCTTGATTGGGGAAGAGAGGTTGGAAGAAGTGACAGTCGCAGTTCGTGTTGCTCACCTTAGCCAAAGCAGTAACAGGAAGAGTAGCGGGTACTTGTACAGTGCTGCAGGAGCAAAATGAAAGAATGAGAAAATGGGAGATAGAATATTCTACTCTTTACATTGACACCAGAAAGAACGTGTGCTCCTGACTGTGTGTTGTTGGACAGATAAGCTGTTAGTATGAGAACACACAAGAAGGCCAAAAAGTAGATGTTAAGCTCCAGATGCCTGTAATGCAGCAAAATGACAGGATAAATGCCAGTACAAAATGTACTTGGATTTCTTGAGCAGTGGGACACCTTCAGTAGAGAACTCATTAACACTTTACTTGAGACAGTTACAGTGAGGGATGCTATGATAGCTGATGTGTAGGCTTTGTACAGCTTTGTTTCCCTCAACCTAAACTTTACTTACTCTCACCTTCTAGTCCCTGAAGACAATTTACTAGAAAATACAAAGAAATGCAGCATTGCAGGAATCTAAGATAATTGGACTATTGTGGGCAATATTATGGAAATCTAGAGAGAGGCTCATTCTGATGAGCAGTAATGGAGTTCTTTAGTTCCTTTTAAATATACTCTCCCCTCCTAAGCTTCTTTCATAGTGCTTGTAGGATAGAGGAGGGGGAAAACACAAGGAAGGCGACAAAAGGAATCTTTGCTATATACAAAGAGAGGATTCTACTAAGAAAAATAAGGCAGAAAAAGAAGATAAGAATTAAGGGCTACAGTTTGAGTTTGATAGAGATTATTGGGACTATGAGTGACTGACTGACTGATTAAGATGAGCTGTGGTACTTCTTAAGAAGAAATGTAATAGTAACTGTAATTGCAAGATGAGACAATATACATGCTGTGGGAAGAGAAATTGAAGAAAGGCTTAGGAAATTATTTCTTTTTCTCTCTCTTCTCTCCCTTTCTTCCTCTAAATGTTAGTTAGGATACCTATATATTTATAAGGAATAAGATTGAAAGTGTTACAAAGTTTATAAGCTTGTGAACATAGTATGTTTTCTTTTCCTTCCTTTTCTTTCCGGTTGTATCTAGAAATGACAGCATATCGTTAAGATAAACTTCAAGAAAAAGCTGGATCAAAGTAGTAGATCAGGAAAATATCTACATGAAAAGATAGTATGATTTAAATAATGATAGACTGTTTAAAGGCATGTTATAAAGGAAATATGTAATATTTGACATATAGTGGTCTAAGCACAACAATGTTTTCTGATGAAGTGACAAAACATTTGTTAACTAATAGAGTTATGGATGAGAAATTTGAGCTGATCTATCAATATGTATTTCTCCCACTTCTATTTTTGATTTTGTGGAAAACCAATAATATATATATTTTAAAAAGAAGCTAAAAGTGAGGCTTTTTGCCTTTCTACCAAAACTAAGACTACTATAGTCAGAAGTTGTTTTAAAGTAGTTTGATAATCTGTTAAGACTAAAATAGTACAATGTGCTCTAATATGTTAAAATACCACCTTTGAGTCCTTGAATGTATTTTCTTGGCATTTAACAGTCGTTCTATATCTACTCTGATTTGTAAGAAAACGACTATCTAAACAATGATAGGAAAAAACATGAGGCATGTTAATGTTGCTGTAATATCTCTGTTATAATTCTCAAATATTTTCATTGTATGTTCTACATAATGATTCATATTCAGAAAACTTTCAGATTGAGGTGATAGTAAAATAAAATTTGGTACATAACCAAAATAAGCCAGGGTAGAACCCTAATGGAGACATTCCTTAATTACTAATCCAGCTGTAATGGAGCAACTAGATGTTGGAATTATTCCCTATATAGTCCTCCTTGTGGTCCCAGTTCTGGGCAGAATGAGCGATCAAGCTGACAGCGTACGTTTCATGGCCACTCAGTGCTTTGCTACGTTAATTAGATTAATGCCTCTTGAGGTAAGTCAGAGTTTTCAATTCTGCTTGAAAATACATATGCGTTTTCTTTAACTTCTGAATTCTCAAACTGTAGGGACTGTGATTGCTAAGCCGCTCTCCAAGTGTGCTAGAAGTGAAGTAGTCTAATAGCCTAAGCTAAATGCTATATGCTTTTTAAAGAGTAAATATTCAAATAACAAAGTCTTATTGTTTTTTGTTTTTGTATTATGAAATGTTCATAAGAATTCATAAGATTTAACTTTAAAGCAGAAAACCCCCAATATACATCAAATCAATACAATGCCTTAAAAAAGTAATCATCAAAAGCACTTTACACCTAGGTGGAGCATCAAAGCTTCAAACACCCATGAGGAATAGTGCTAAGCTCTGAACTAATGCAAACTCCAAGCAGGAATTTCAAGAGAGCAAAATTGTCAGATTTACAGACCAGTGTTTGCAGGTTCACTTGTTAAAGGGGCCACATCAATTAAAGCAGGAAAGTTCTACCATTAGATTTAGACCAGTAGTATATGTCTGTAACTTGTAGCTATTAAAGCTTTTTTGGACATCTATAATGTACTTTTGAGAGGTCGCTAAATAAAGCTGGCAAGGTCTAGCATTTGATTCAAACCATAAATATGCTTCTGTAACTTTTCAAGAGGACACTAAATGAAACAAGGTCTAGTGTTTGATTCAGACCAGCGATATGGGTCTGTAACTTGAATGTCCACATAGCTTCCAACTGTAAAAGCTTCTTTTGGACATCCACCTGGTTATATGGATGAAACTCCAATCCCCCCCCCCCCCAAAAAAAGTAAATCTTCTGCTTGATGTCCCTGTTGGATAAAATGCATCACAAGGGGAGCCTTAAGAATTTTGTTTTTTAAAATTTAATCTTATGACTTCCATCAGCTTCAATATAGAATTATCAAAGGAAAACTGCGTGAACTATACTCTTTGGTGAAGATATGAAATCCCTGAGACTACCTGGGATCTGCATTAGTAATAGTTTAGTTTAAAGCGCTCCCATCGAAGGTCGGGAGTGGAATCCCTAACCTTGGCCCACTCCAACTCAGGCACAGGACCTCTGTCTTCATCGGATTCAATTTCAGTCGACTCAGTCTAAGCCAACCAGCCACAGCTTTCACCGCCAGGTCCTGATCTTCCGGACTACAATCTGACTGGCCGTCCCAACAACAGATAGAGCTGGGTGTCATCCACATTTTGGTGACACCCAGCTCTATCCAGTGTTCAGTTCAGTGTCAGCATGAATTGAACTGAACCCCAAGCACTTAGTAGATTTGCATCCCTTGTTGGGATTCTTGAGGATCTTGGTTTATGTCTCAAATAGCTGGGCCAGAGTTGGTTTGGGGGATGCCTCCAGAAAAGCAGAATAAATTCTGAACTCTGTCCCTCTGCAGTAACTTCAAATTAACATTTTCCACAAATGTTCACTGCAAATGTTAGCACTGCAGATGCAATTCCAACTGAAGTCACTAGAAGGTGTACTAGTTTTAAAGAAGAACAGGACTGAACTGTGCCAGATTTGTATTTTGTGTGAGTTACAGTGCTGCTTGTTCAGTGTCATCACGTGCACATAGTGATAACCATCGGACAGCAATTGCTTGCTTTGGATGTTTCATTACTCCTATTTTTGTCAGTGCCCTTCATCAAAACTTTCAAGGAGGGGTTTGAATTTATAGAGCCCTTAGTAAGCTTTAAATGTTTACAGTATAATGTCTGCAGTGAGACAATTCTGGGTTTTTAGGGTGGGGAGGTTTGCCCCCCAAAAGGCTACGAGTATAAGAAGGTAAAAAAAAGTAGTATTTGGTGAAAGGTAATAGATATCACAGGGAAGAATGTAAAGCTAGATGATAGCATCAGTATCATGTAATGCATTAAATTTTCACTGTAAAGTCTATAAACAAGGTGCCTCATTAATAAATGAAGCGTCTCAATGATTAATGGGAAACTATATCTGAGCCCTTAGTTGGGAAAACTCTGTCATCCTTTTTCTTCTAGTAAATGCTTTAACTAACACAGGTCTTTTTCAACTTGTTTTAATGTGATCATGAGTAACATAGTATCCTGGCCCCCAAGAATAGACTGTCTCAATGTATTATACTTGTAAGCTGCTCTTGGTACAGAGTGCAAGCAGTCTGCTTTTTGTCAGAGAAAAGATCTGCTTTTACAGAAACTTATATTAGCCTCCAAGCATAATTTTAGATTTGGATATTGATCTATGAAAGCCTTAAACAGCCTAGGAACTTTCAATAAGTCGAGTAAGAGATGCCCCCCACCACCACTAAGGTTCCTTCACCCTGAAGATTTGCCCAGGAGCAAAGGTAATTTTTGGCTTTGTCTCTGCAATTTTGTAGGGTATAACAACTTCTTTTACAGTTGTCCATTCTATTGCCTAGTGTATTTTTCTTTTTAAAAAACAGCTGGGAAACAAAGCTTGGGTTTGGAAACAAATTAACTTAAAAATGTATTGAGCTGTATCAGCAGCAAGGAGCAGTTTCAGCTAGAACCCATTTAGCTTCTAGCACTGATTCTTGCTTCAAAATACTTTTTTTTCAGAATACTGAAAAGTTCTAGACTGAGTGTTGTGATTACCATGTGCATTACAGACAAGTGTAACATTTCCCTCACATTTTTAAAATTGGCTTTTACCAACATGTGCTATCAGATTGCAGTGATACCTTTTAAATGTATCCTTTCACACCAATTCCCCCTATTCTAGTTTCTAAAACCATTCTAGATTCCCAGTAAGTGCTCAAAGACATTTTTATTAAATCTGAAATAATCCCCAAGTTAGATCATCATGAAATTAACATTGAAAGATTACAGAACTGTTCATGAATAGCAAGAAGTAGAACAGAATACCAGGAAATGAGTGTGGCAGAGTAGATAAATTTGTCATTTAAGTTTCCTCCTATATTTGAAAAGGGGTTGTTAGCTAAAAAGGAAGCAAGTTTCAAAATGATGAAGTGCCTGTACAATACAAAGCCCTGGTTAAGTGTTTGGTTTTACAACAACATGATACTGCTTAAACAATGGCCATAAGCGAATTCAGGAAACAGCCGGGCAGTGACAGTCAGTTTGCTTGGAAAAATACTTCAGGAGAAAAACAATTTTTCTTTGTGCAATTTCTCATCTCTCTTTAGAGTATAGATTTTCCTTTGGATTGTCTAGTACATGCACCGTCTGACTGTTTTGTTACACAAAATAGATGTAAGATATAATGGCGCATGAATATTCCTTGGTACTATCATTTAGGATATTAATAATATGTCCTGCTTTTCAAATGATTTAGCTGTTGATGCTTCTTGCATTTTCCATGTGCTTGACGTCCATAATGTGGAAAATATTACTCTAAAAGTGAGCCTGAATTTTATTGAAGTTTACAGTTCTCTTACTGCTTAGTTTAGGTTGCTACTTTATAGGTCATATTACTAACATAATACTTGTTTTTATTAGGACCAACTCATTTATTAGGACCAACTCAAATAACACAAAATATTGTGCCCAAGCTTTCAGGTTCCCCCAAACACTTCATCAGTCTTGATGTACAGTACAAAAAAGGGGGAGAGAGGATGTTTCAGGACATGTTGGCAGAGCCCAGGAGTGTACAGTTTACATTTGTCTTAAAATGGAGACCTGGAGCTGTTGCAGACTTAACTAGGTGACATGTTGCTGCGTACAAGTCAGATTTCAGGATATCCAGAGGCTTCTGAGAAGACCCAGAAATGGAGCCTGGTCCTTTTAAAGCAACAGGAACCAGAAGTTCATCAGGATCTGCGCACACACATGCACACACCCCATTGTTTGAAATTATTTGAAATGTACAGCTTCCTGTAAAGCTGAGACCAGCAAAAAAAAGTGGTAGTAGCTCATGGAATGGGAACATCCAGTCAATTGTGATCTTAAGCACATTTTTAATGTCAAAATACAATTAAAAAGACCTAAAGTACAAGACCGTTGAAGGTTCAATTAATATTTCATTTTATAAAAGCTTAAAAGCTGTGTTAACCCAATCAAGGCTAGAACAAAGTTTAAGTCCAGTGGCACCTTTTAGACCAACAAAGTTTTATTCAAGGTATTTGTTGGTTTAAAAGTGCCACTGGACTCAGACTTTGTTCTTCTGCTTCAGACCAACACGGCTAGTGATGTTTTACAAAAGTGATTTCAGTAGGTGTAAATAGATTATTGGGGCCACGGTGGCTCAGAGGTTAAGATGCTGAGCTGCAGACTGGAAGGTCTGTAGTTCGGCAGTTTGAGGCCCTAGTACTGTGTGATGGAGTGAGCTCCCTTCTCTGGCCCTGGTTCCTGCCAACCTAGCAATTCGAAAGCAAGAAATTGCAAGTAAATAAATAGGTACCACTTCGGTGGTAAGGTAACAGCATTCCATGTGTCTCAGCATTTAGTCACACTGGCCCCATGACCATGGAAATGTCTTCGGACAGCGCTGGCTCTTTGGCTTGGAAACGGAGCTGAACACTGCCCCCTAGAGTTGGATTTGACTAGCTTTCAAGCAAGGGAAACCTGTACCTTTTTAAAGTAGATGATTACCCTGACCTGGATGGTCCAGGGTAGCCAGATTTCATCAGATCTCAGAATTAAGCAAGGTCAACCCTGGTCTGAAGTTGGATGGGAGACCACCAAGCAAAGCCAGGGTCAGTACACAGAGGCAGGCAATAGCAGACCACATCTGTTCGCCTCTTGCCTTGAAATTCCTATAGGGTCGGCATAAAGCTGCAACTTGATGGCACTTTACATACATACAAATTGGCTTGATACATTTGATGTTGTTGTTCGAGTCTGACTCTTCGCGACCCCATGGACCAGATCACGCCAGGCCTTCCTGTCTTCCGCCGTCCTCTGACGTTTGCTCAATTTCATGTTCGTTGCATCTATGACACTGTCTAACCATCTCATCCTTTGCCGTCCCCGTCTTCTTTGACCTTCAATCTTTCCCAGCATCAGGGTCTTCTCCAGTGAGGGCTCCATTCTCATTTGGTGGCCAAAGTATTTGAGCTTCAGCTTCAGTATCTGGTCTTCCAGGGAACAGTCAGGGTTGATTTATTTTAGGATTGACTGATTTGATCTTGATAACCATGAATAAAAAGAAGTTTTGTACTGTCTCCAGTAATTTTTCAGAGTATCCTTTCTTGTTTCAGGCTGGCATTCCAGACCCACCTAATATGTCTGAAGATTTAATCAAAATTAAAGCCAAGGAACGCCATTTTCTGGAACAGTTGTTAGATGGGAAAAAACTAGAAAACTATAAAATTCCAGTGCCAATTAAAGCTGAACTCAGAAAATATCAACAGGTAAGTTCTCATAGAAACATTTCCTGCACACAAGAGCCTTCATCTTTAAACAAGTCTCCATTCTGTAGACTGGTTGAATTTCCTCAAGATTTTTCATTTAACGTGATAAATCACATCTTTGCAGGGTACTGTGTACTGTTAGCACAAAGACATTAAGAAAAAGTGTTAAGCTATTATTTGATTATATGCCAATCTAAAAGTAATTGCCACAGGGCATACCAAAGCTTAGAATGTACAAAATTAAAAGCAGCTGGAAATCTTTCTGTAAAGTACTTAAATGTAGCTAAAATTGCCCTGCTCTCGTCAGATCTCAGAAGCTAAGCAGCATTGGCTCTGGTCGGTCTTAGGAAGGGGAACCACCAAGGAATACCAGGTTCGTGATGCAGAGGCAAGCAATGACAGACCACCCTTGAACGTCTCTTGCCTTGAAACTCCAGCACAGAGTTGCCATAAGTCAGCTATGACTTGAGAGCAAAAATAGAAGAAGTTAAGATTAGATTTTATGTAACTTGCTTTTATTTATCAAGAATTACGTCTAAAATTGTAAAGATCAATCATGAAATGAATGAGCAGAGCTGGGAAATGTTAAATTTCTGCATGCCAGCTACAAATTTTGAGGCACAAGCCTACTCAACTGTTACATAACTTTTCTTAGGGGCAAAGGCTTTTTAATCAAAGGTGTGTGTGGTACAATCATGTTAGAAGCATTTTGCAAATTCCTGGCCCCAGTCAACATTTTTTGAGTTCTGGTAGCTTTATGTAGTACTGATGTTAAGACATCCTAGGACTTGATGTTTTACTTCTACTACAATCACCTAAAATTGAGCTCTGGTGCCGTTCCTCTGATTTTAGGATTTTCTTTTCTCCTTTACAGGAAGGTGTGAATTGGCTGGCTTTTCTTAACAAATACAAGCTTCATGGTATCCTCTGTGATGATATGGGCTTAGGAAAAACTTTACAGTCCATTTGTATTCTTGCAGGGGATCATTGTCTCAGGTAGCCTACAGAACAACTGCTGCTCAGTCATATTATTGCCCTATAAACATTTTTATATGTTATATATATATGGTTTTGTTCTCTGAAGGGCTCAAGAATATTCAAGAACTAAAACATCTGATAGTGTTCCGCTTCCATCATTAGTAGTGTGCCCTCCCACACTTACAGGCCATTGGGTGGATGAAGTAGGGAAGTTTTGTTCCAAAGAGTATCTCAATCCACTGCATTATACTGGTCCTCCTACAGAAAGGGCAAGGTAAGTAATACAATTGAGAAGCCTGTTTTTACATTAAAAAATATTTTTTGTTATTTTTCAAAATAAATTACAAACATCCAGACTACAACATGATGCGTTAACAAAGTAAACACACTAAGCATCGGTGTTATATTAACCCCCCCCCCAAAAGCGGGTACATACAAGTTGAACTCTGTGTATAGCTTCAAAACAAAGCAAGTGTTATTTCTAGGAATAACCTTGTGCTTCAAATATTCTGTCACAGGAAACCACACAGTTATAAATTCAAGAAGCCTGTTTTTACAACCTGCACTGAAATCCACATCATTGTCTATTGTGATTATGAGGGAAAATCTTTGATATTTTAAAAGAGATTTGTCTGTGTATACGCCCCCACCCCAAATGCTTCAAGACCTAATTGGTTTTCTATCTTTCCCTGTTCAGGTTGCAGCACCACGTAAAAAGACACAACCTCATTGTAGCTTCTTACGATGTTGTAAGGAATGACATTGACTTCTTCAGGTGAAAACTACTGTTTCTATTTCATTTAATATGTTATTTGTTTTAGAAACAATATTGATTTAGTTGTGTTTTCTTCCCTAGGAATATTAAATTTAACTACTGTATACTTGATGAAGGCCATGTCATAAAAAATGGAAAAACAAAATTATCAAAAGCAATAAAGCAGCTGACTGCCAACTATAGGATAATACTCTCTGGGACCCCAATTCAGGTAAATCCCTATTTCTCCTCTACTCTTTAAAAAAAGATAACAGAATGTTACTTGGAAGCCACCTGCTATTACAAAAAGTTCTGACTAAGTTTCCAGCTGTTCATGGCAGGGGAATCTATAGCGACAGTTCACTGCAAGGACCTGTCCTCCGCTAGGGCCTGTTAGATCTCCCTGTGTGGATGCTTGGTTTGTGTGGTGATTGCATGTAAAAAAAGTCAACCATTTCAGTCTACGCACACTCAGTTTTTGCGCATAGGTTTTTGTGGGAACGAAATAGCTGTGAAGAAACGCTCTTTGGACTCAGAGATGAGACAGGTGCCGATAACATCACAAGCCTGTTCCCCACCACACAATACGTTCTTCAGAACCAGTTTAGTGTGGTATTCTTAAAAGGTTTTCTAATTTAATGTTTTTCCTGTGCTCAGAACAATGTCTTGGAGTTGTGGTCACTGTTTGACTTCCTGATGCCAGGATTTCTGGGCACTGAGCGCCAGTTTGCAGCTCGCTATGGCAAGCCTATATTGGCAAGCAGAGATGCTCGGAGCTCAAGCAGAGAGCAGGAGGCAGGTAAGAAGCAAATTCTCATTGCTCTACCAAGTAGTGTGAGTGCTAGAAAAACCCAGCATCCTATCACTAATTTGCCTCTGTGTGATACATGAAGAATCCTGTTGCTTGCTGTTATGTTCTTTCTCTTGTGGGTATTGTAGGTGTTCTTGCAATGGAGGCATTGCACAGACAAGTCTTGCCATTTTTGTTGAGGAGGATGAAAGAAGATGTACTGCAGGATCTTCCACCCAAAATTATTCAAGACTATTACTGCACCCTCAGCTCTCTGCAGGCAAGTTGAAAAAGGACAGGGTTGCTAGCTCTAACACTGATTTAAGCCTTGTGCTGGTGTTGGGCAACAAAACAGCCTGTTAAGGATCTTCTCAGAACCCTGGAATTATTCCAGATGAGAATTTATTGTATTTCATTGGGTCCTTCTCATAAAATATTGCTAATTTTGTATCCAAGGTAAAGCTGTAGCATGTCTGCCACTGAAAGTTGTCTGTAAATTCTTCAACTTCTCCATTTTTACCTAGATGTTGGGAAGAGCAAGCAGGATTAGGAGCACCGTGTTTTACACATGAATGTTCAGATTTCTGTGTAGTTAGTTGTTCCTCTCCCCCCACTTCCAGGGGCTGCAGTGTCTAAGAGGTCTCTGATCATGAATCAGTGGTTCTTTTTCATAGAGATCAGGTTTCATCATTGATATTCCTTGTGTGCCTGTTCCTTACATGCTCCCTGTCAGGGATGTAGGGAAATCCCTAGTTAGAGGCCCCTTTTCTGCAAATCCCTAGTTAGAGTCCCCTTTTCAGTGCACCATTTGCCTTGCTCCTAGTCAGTGCCTTTTATCCAATAAGCCAGTAATGGCCATATTGTTCTTGGCTAGGAGAAAAAACAGTAGGTTGATCCCAGCCAAATAACATTGTAGAAATGGTCCTCTGTTTCTGTGGGAGGCTGCTGTGTGCTTTTTTAAGTGGTCAATAATTAAACTGAATTAAACTTGTGAGGTAAATTGAAGGTAAGGTCTGTGAGCCTGGAACTCCTTCCTGTTTTATAGATTCAACTGTATGAAGATTTTGCCAAATCTCGTGCCAAATGTGATGTGGAAGAAACTGTTTCATCAGCCTCATTGACTGAGGAGACAGAAAAACCAAAGCTTAAAGCCACAGGGCATGTGTTCCAGGTACTAACTTTATCATATTGTTTGGTTCCTTGTTAATGAAAGTTTAATAGACCTTCAGGTTTTCTGTAGTTTTTGCAGTTGAAGTCAGCCTTCAAAGCGCATCAGGGAATTTATTTGCTTGAACAAAATATAGCGAAACCATAGTCTAGCCCCTGTCAAAAGTGCCTGTCCCAACCCTGGGTAAGGACTTTTGGTTGCAAAGGGGGGGAACAGCCCAGGAGGGAAAGGACAAGTCTCCCGGCTTCTTGGGGAATTAACAAGAAAAATCAGAGCGGGACTGCAGACTGAGTTTTCCAAACACAAAACAGTAGGTGGTCAAAGGCCAAGGCTCTGGAAGTAGGGTTTGAGGTCAATGAAGGCAAAAACCATGACAGAATAAAAATATAGTTATTTATTTAAAGTGCAAAAATATTTTAAAAGTGACAAGACTGTGAAGGAATAAAACAAATCTGAGCATATTCAGCATAGCTAAAACATAGAGTCAGGGTTCCAAGTTGCTGTTATGGTTCGGCTCAGGCAGTTAGCTCCAGCAAATCAAAGTGTTCAGGGCATAGCCCTTCCAAGCAGTAGTCAAGATGGATGTGAGCACAGAGGGAGCTGTATAACCACTGACATACTTCAGTGCCAAGAGGTTACAAAGCCCAGCCATATAGCAAAGGCTAACTAGATTTATAGAGAGGGTCTCTGATTGACCTCAGGCCTGTTAGGCCAATCAGAAACCAGAGAGATGATGTAACTCTCTGTAGGTTGCTAGGCACGTGATGTGAAGGGATGAACCAGAGGAGGGAGAAACGAAACCATACTGCAGCTAGGTCCCGCCCTTTCCCACATAGGTGCCCCATAGCTTCAGTTGCTTGGAATGTGCTAATTGGAAAGACCAGGGCAAAGTGGTGCTTCCTAGCTCAAGGCTCTCAAACATGTGACCTGCGGACCAGATCAGGCCCTCGGAGGGCTCCAATCCGGCCCGCAAGACCCTAGCTGTTTCTGCTTTTTCCAGATGTGCTGCTACTGTTAACCATGTCACAGCTTGATTTACCAGACTCTCTCAATCACAGAGGAGAGATAGATAGGCAAGATTCTCCTCTCCAATTTAGTCTGGTAAAGCATTGGCTGAGGCTCCTCCCTCCTCCTCCTCCCAGGGGGAGGGAGGGAACCAGCCAGAACTTGCTTCCTGGGCAGGCTGCCTCAATCATATACAGGAGACAAAGAAGCTTTTATTTCTCCCCACTGACTGAGGCTCCTCCCTGGTGGAAGGGAGGGAGGGAACAAATGAGGGAGAGCTTGGTTTGCTGAGCTGCTTCAGTTGCACAGGAGAAATACCAAGCACCTTTAAGACCAACAAAGTTTTGTTCAAGGTATGAGCTTTTGTGTGCCTTGCTACAGTGTGTATGTGAGCCAGTCTTTCTCAGTATGAAAGCAATGTGAACTATTTTAGAGGAGGAATACCAACAAGCCAGTGAGGTGGATTAGGCTGAGAGTGTGTGTCCAGACCAAGTTCACCCAGCACATTTTCTTTGTAGGAAGTTGTCGTTATATCTCTGGGGAAGAGGATAGTTTTGTAGCAAACACATGGTCATCAGTCTGTGTCAGGATGCCTTCTCATGTTCTTGACCAGCACATGAAGCAACTTATGTACATGCCCAGCTATTTCATGTTTTCCCCTGGGTCCTAGGCTCAGAACACTGAGCATGAGATTTCTGTAATGAATGTCAATAAATCAAAAGTAGGTTTGCAGCTTACAGATACACACCTGAACAGCATAAGATTGCCACAGCACAGACATTTTGATGCAATAATTCAGAGCAAAAGGTGTTAGTTACCAGAAACTGCTAAACAGACAAAATATTGAAAGAGTGCTAGTGTTTTAAGCATGTTTTATTTAAAGTTTAAAATATCTTTGTGGTTGTCTGTGTCCTTTATCAAGTTTATAACTCTGCTACCTGGCATTGCATCTTATGACACACATGGCCCGGCCCAACAAGGTCTCATTTATGTCATCTCCAGCCCTCATAACAAAGGAGTTCAACACTTCAGCTGCAAACAATTTAGCTGGCAAGGTCACTGTGTTCTAACTGTCTCTGGGAAGATTTCTGTAGGCCTCTCTGCAGCCTGAACCAAAGGTTTTATTTCTCAGAGCAAAACATGAAACCATTTTTCTTTACAAGCCCAGATTAAATTTACAAAACGGGATGAAATTCTATGGTGTAGACACATTACATTATTAATTAAAACTAAATACGTTGCAAATTCATCTTTGCAGTGAAGTATTCTCTTAAATTAAAACAAGCAGTCTTTTATGTGTTCAAGATGGGTAGCCGTGTTAGTCTGTCTGTAGCAGTAGAAAAGAGCAAGAGCCCAGTAGCACCTTAAAGACTTACACAATTTGTGGCACTGCTCACTTCTTCATAGTATTTGCGCTACTGGGCTCTTGCTTTTTTCTCTTATGTGTGTTGAATTAATGAATAGCTAACTAAACAAGGAGCTACAGAACAGCTTCCCAGGGGAAATTTAAGTACTTCCTCACAGCTTTTAGCTATAGAAAGCTTAGGGGTACGGTTACTTTGCTTCAGTGCTTCCTGTGCTGATTTGTATTGATTTTTCATTTTATTTTACAGTACATATTTAAAAGGCTGCAAATGCTATGACAGCAAAATTCCTGTCAGCATTCCTAATTGGAATTTTTAAACTGTGATTTTTATGGGTTTTATCCTTGCTGCTTTTATTGTGTTTTTCATAGTTTATATTGTAAGCTGCCTTGAGTTCCATAAGGGAGAAAGGCAGCTAACCAATGTTTTAAATAAAAATTAAGGCAGAGGTGAGAGATGAGCATTTTTAAATACATGTTTTTGTTTGCAAGTGTATTATTTCCTGTGAAATTATTCTTTGATAAAACTGCCAAGAACCACTTTGGCTGTTGTAATAATAGGTGTAGAATAAACACAAACCTGTCTTTTACTAACAGCATTCTCCTTGATCTGTTAAGACTGAGAGAATATTACAGCTCTGCACCACAGCCTGAGGTTACATGCCAGAGCAGTTTGGGGAAAGATGGGGAGGGGAGGGGGGGGGTTGTGTTAATTCCTGGGGCAGGGAATAATCCTTATTCAAGTTGCCCAGTACAGGATAAATACACTGGAATCCAGGACAAGATAAATAACTCTGTCTGAAGGTCTAGCCCTCATTCTCCCCTCTTCTCCAAACATAAAAGCAATGGGACCCTTTGTGGACCATAACCTTTTTTCAGTACTCTACAATGTGATTATGACCAGGAATGAACATTGGCCCTAAATAGCGATAAGTATAGCATCCATCTCCCTATTTTTGGCAAGATTCTCACATGAGTATATCTGTAACAAGTACTCCGTGTTCTGCCATGAAAAAATATATCTTAAATCGTGCATATTCCTTATCTGCTTGCTTTATAGTTTAACATTTTTCTTGTCTTTTTAAAAAGGCTTTACAGTATTTAAGGAAACTGTGCAACCATCCAGCTTTAGTTTTAACTGCTCAGCATCCAGAGCATAAGAGAATCACAGAGAAGCTTGCAGTTGAAAACACTTCTCTTCGAGACATCCAACACGCACCTAAACTCTCGGCTTTAAAACAGGTAGGTACACGCTGGGGCAGCTATGTACAGGGTCCAGTTCCTGGCTCACAATGCTAAAAAAGGAAATAGACAGTGCTGTTACCTGATATGATGTAACAATTTGTTGTCTTCTAACACCAACTTGTGTGCACCTTAAATGTTCTGTGAATCCCAAGCTTTTACACTCAGGTAAGTTATGCTCATCAGATCTCAGAAGCTAAGCAGGGCTGGCCCTGGTTAGCTCGTGGGTGGGAGACCCCCAAGGAAGTAGTCCAGGGTTGCTGCGCGGAGGCAGGCAATGGCAAACCACCTCTCTTCCTCTCATGCCTTGAAAACTCTGCAGGGTCGCCATAAGCTGGCTGTGACTTGATGGGGCTTTCCACCACTCTGTAAAGACAGATTTGGCTCTACCTGTTTCATTTTTGGTAACTGTTGGTGAGGACTCTGTAGCATTAGTGACTGAAGAGTATTTCCCTTCTTTTTTGAAGTTCTTAGTGACTGACAGAATGCTTCTTGTTTTTGGCCTTTTAAGTTGCTGCTTGATTGTGGCTTGGGAAATGGTGGCTCCCCAGAAAGTGGCACAGAAACCATCGTTGCACAACACAGGATACTTATCTTCTGTCAACTCAAGAGCATGCTGGATATTGTAGAGCATGACCTGCTCAAGCCTCACTTACCTTCCATTACCTACCTGCGATTAGATGGCAGCATACCCGCTGGTCAGAGGCATTCCATTGTGTCACGGTAAGTTCCTCTCTTGGCTGTATCAGTGAATGTGAGTTACTTCCAAGCAGAAGCCCGTGCAGCTCGCACTGCTGCTGGGATCTTGTATTTGTATACACCTGATAATTAAAAGGCCTGTTTTTATAATGCAACACAGATGGGAGTAGGACCAGTATTGCAGATATTTCGCATGATGCTGTAGAAGGCATAAGTGCAGGTGATGAAACTGAGCGCACAGCTTCCTGACAATACATATTTCAGTTGGGGGGGGCGGACGGAATATGCTGTTTCTCATGTTGCTGGCTTCTGAGAAACGGAGGTGAACTCTCAAGTCCCAAAATATAGCTGAAATAAGTTCTGTGGTGAAGGGTGGGGCTTTAGTGTCACTTCCTCCACGATGAGCAAAAAAGATGCAAGTGTCTGCATTCTTATGCAGGTTGAGCATGTTGGACCAGTGTAAGATCATGCCACTGTTCTTGGTGGAGACAGCCCAGAGGAGAGTATTATGTAGAGAGGCAAGCTCCTCCTAATATTAAAAGTAGCACTAGACTTCTTTTGAATTTTGTGTCTTTTCCAAATTTAATAGGTGCAAGTGGTTTTTAACTTACATGCAACTACTGTTTGAGGTTGTAAAAGTGAAAGGTGAGCAAGGTGGATCTGCATAACCTGCTATTTCTAGGCTTAGCTAGCAGGGTAGAGCCTTTCAGGTCTGTCCCCTAGCCAGAAGACCACTTTACTGTGATACCAGCTGAGAGCTGCCCTGGTTTTACGCTTAGATTGCCTTTACGATGCCATATCGTCCTCATTGGTCAGTACTGTGCAGATATCCTTGAAGATAAAGTCTCAAGAATAGGTTCCAATTCAAGACTTGCTTATATGGTGACTTTTTTCCTGTTTATGTATATAGTAAACTGAAGTTTTAGTGCCTGCTTTTTTTCATTTACAGGTTTAATAATGATCCATCCATTGATGTCCTCTTGCTTACCACACATGTTGGCGGACTGGGGCTAAACTTAACTGGTGCAGACACGGTGGTGTTTGTGGAACATGACTGGAATCCAATGAAAGACCTGCAAGCAATGGATCGAGCACATCGTATTGGGCAGGTAAAATAACAAGTGTTGCTGATTCAGGACCAGCAACCGTTTTGGTCCAGAATTCACTGAAACTTGTAGAAAAAAAAAAAGTAAAAAAAGGGGGGGGGGGGGGTCAAACATATGGCCTGCGGGCTGGAAACAGGCCATCCAGGGCTCTTAATCCAGCCCACGAGCAACTGGTTATTACCTGTATTGCTAGATGACAGAGGTTGTGCATGATACTCTCCCAGTGCTAATGCGTAATGGGTGGTGAAAGTGGGAGGGTGGGCATTGGGGAGATACTGTGTAAGAGTGTTAATGTTATAAGCATGTTTGTATTTTGAGTAAAAATTAATATTAATTGGGTGTGTCTGTGTCCTTTATATAAAGTTTATATCTCTGGTACCTGGCATTACATTTTATGGCACACATGGCATGGACTGACAAAGTGGCATTTATGTCAGATTTGGTGCTCGTAACAAATGAGTTCATCACCTCTGCGTATAAATGACTTGCATCGGTTGTTGAACTTTCTGATCAAAACAACATAATAACCAAGACCTGAAGCAGCTTTACAGTAGACTAGTTAATAGAGAGAGATATGCAAGAGAACACTCTTGAGACATTTGGCTATTCTTCCTGTGATCCCTGGGGGGCAGGAAATAGGTTGGTCTTCTCCATCTCCAGTGGGGAGGGAGTGCCTGCCACCTTCCTTTTGGAGACTTCTGCAGGTCAACTCTTTTCCTTGTGGAACTATATCTTTCTCCTTATGTCTGCAATGAAAGAAACGAGAAACTGTTTTTAAAAATGAAAATTGGGAATTCAGAGAACCTGATACAGATTGTTATAACAATATTCAGTAGCCAATTTTTAAAAAAACCCTCTGCCTGGTATCAGTTTGGGTGTGTGTGGGGGGAGAAATGACCATCACAGGACAAGGAAAATGGTTACCATGCAGGCAGGATGGGGGAAATCCAAACTTTCCTACCCAGCCAGCAGTGAGCCAGGCTTTTCTGTGATCTTTCAAAAAACTTTGCACCAACGCAAAGCAGGCTTGGGAAACACGGGAGAAAAGTACTCTGGAAGGTGCTAGTACCACCATTCTATAGGGAAACAGGGAAATAACCTGCTTCTCAACATAACTGAACTGAAGTCAAATAGTCCAGGATCAGTGTTTTTGCTCTATTGTTTTTTTTGGGGGGGGGTTGAAGGGGGGGGTTGGTGGTGGTTATTTTGTTTTTTAAGAATATCTACAAATTCTTAAATCCTCTGCCTCAAATTTTCAGCCTATCCAAAAGGACCAAGGCAGAAAATGTTTAACCTATGTCTATTGTGCTGTCTCTTATCACGTGTTTTTTATGCCTCGGTTCTCTGTGGGCACATGCCTGCTTATGTGTATCACTTAATTTAGTTCGTGCATATGCCACCTTTGTCCTCATAGACACTTACGCCAGCTGACTATATGGTATTATAAATACAATAATTGGAAATCCCATAAAACAATGACAATCCAATCAGGTAAAAAAAATGGCATCTAAGTCCCTTCAGGTGATTGACTCCAAGTGGTTGATTTCCTTTTGGAATGAAAATGTTTTAAAACTGCTCTGGAATGTCTGCAAGTTAGATGCTTAGGGGTGTTAGCTGACAAAGGCTCCTCCATGCTAGCTGAATGTTAGATAATGTAAGTTCCCATGGGAGAGCCTCACCCACTAATCTTTAAATTCAGGCAAGTCATTACAGGTGGAGTCGTTCTTTGGGTACCGTGGTGCAAATCCAGTTAAAGTCAAAACCGGCACCTCAGATTTGGTCCCCCACCAGACTGGGAGCTGGTGAAGTACTGTCCTTCTCCGTTCATTAGGACTAATTCCAGTCAGCACTCTTGCTCCTGTTTTTGTGTAGCTGAAGTTTCTTCAAGGACAGCCCCACAGGGTGCATTACAGTAATACAACCTGTATGTTACCAAGGCATGTGTGATCCTGGGCAGTCTGTCTGCTCCAGCAACTGTCGCAGCTGGTGAGCCAGCCTGAGTTGCTGATAGGCAGCCGCTTCTGCCACCGGTTTATCCAGTCACAGTGAGCAGTTGGAACGCTCCCCCAGGCCCCATACCTGATTTTTCAGGGGAACGATATCCCTATCCAGAACAGACTGTCCATCTATTCCTGGGCTTACATAAAACCCTCATAAATGTTAACTGTGTCTTGCAGAAACGAGTTGTCAATGTTTATCGCCTGATAACAAGAGGAACGTTGGAAGAAAAGATAATGGGTCTCCAGAAGTTCAAAATGAATATTGCAAATACAGTGATCAGTCAAGAGAACACTAGTTTACAAAGCATGGGCACAGATCAGCTTCTTGACCTCTTCACTCTTGACAAGGTAAAAAAAAAAATTCTGATGTTGGATTAAATCATAAAACATATGATATTTGGGGAGATTAAATTGCCCCTGGAGCTGCTGCTTCCTTGATGTTAGTATCCCATTAAATGAGCTGTAGTGACCAATGGAAGCACGAGGGGCTCCTGGCACAGTTCTCAAAGTGTGCAGATGGGGCTTGGGAACGTGTGCTCATTGTAGGCATTTGTGTATTTCCTAATACCAGGTCATATATCTATAAAAAAGATACCCCTCCCCCCCCCCCCCCCCATTTTTTTAAAGGATGGAAAAGCTGAAAAATCAGACGCTGCCACTTCTGCTTCTGGAAAAGCAACTATGAAATCAGTGCTTGAAAATCTTGGAGAACTTTGGGATCAGGAGCAGTATGACTCCGAATACAGTTTAGAGAAGTTTATGCATTCGCTCAAATAAACTTTCTTTAATGCAGTGACTGCTAGTCCACATTTTCAGCTGATATTCAGCAAATTTCAAAACATTTATAGTGAACTTCTAGTATAACATGTAAATACTAAAAAAATATGAAAGAGCTGCGTTTTGAATAAAGCTACCTACTTCACTTTGAGGTAGTTAAGTCTTAAATACTAGCATTATATAAAACCTTTAAATGTAAACTTAATGTGAGGTTGTTTTGAATTTCCCAAATAGCTATAGATTCTTATTTGCTGGGGGGAAAATAAAACATAACCGGTTTTGCACATTCTGATAAGTGTTATTACTCTTTTGAAATCATAACTTCCCCTTTCCCCAAATCTTCAGTAATTTGTACAGATTGTTTGAAAACTTCTCTTATTATTGTACATCTCTCTTTGAAACCCGGTTTTGCTTCAATGATACATTAAAGAAGAATTTTCAGTTTAACAAGTTAGAGTGATATTTGGTGCAGATCACTTCAGGATGTATATTGAGACTGTAGTGGCAAAGTCCTGAAGCAGTAATGGGGAATTAAATGAAAATTCAAGTGTTAAGGTCCCACCTTGTGTGGTGCTCTTCAGTCTTCTGACATCATTTTGAGAGCAGTTGACTTTTTAATAGGAATTTACACATAATGGCTTGCTATAGGCCATTTCTGCATCCTTTTTAGAGGGTGCCATTTTTAAATTTTTATGTGTATATATAGTATGGCTAGAGTGTAGCCCGGTTCAGAGATCAAGCATATGCTGTAGGTTTCAATCCTATTTTTTTGTAACTAAAAGAGCAGTTATATTAACAGAGCTTTTCCAGACATAGATATTGTAAAATTGAGAATTCATGCTGGAAAAATCTCTAATGCACTAGTGCAGGACTCTCTCAAACGAGAGAGGAAAGATGCTTTATTTAGGGTCTAGATGCACACACATCTACTTAGAAATGCCTACATTGCATCAGAGGAAATGGAACATTTGAACTAAAATCATGTAATAGAAGGTTATAATAACTGAGTGAGGGTAACAGTAGCTGTACATTTTTAAAAGGGAGCCAGTAGTGATGTGTCTGTTCATAGATGTGCATGTATGTACCAAATGTACACAGTTTTCTGAATATATTAAAGGCAAACCTGCATAACCTGTCAGAATACATAGAATATATGTATAGGTGTCATATCTACAATTTGGAGCTGGCTGTGCACTTCAGCATCAGAGCTTGAATAGCCATGAAACCTCAATAGTGTAAAGTAATTGTTTTGATTTTTTTAAAAAAGGGAAAAAAACATTGGCTTATGGGGCAAGATTGTTTTGCAATATTCAAACATGAATGAACGTGTGTCAGATTTAAGTAGGTATATGACCTGCCATATTGTAACATTAACTTAGCATTCCATGACAAGGGAAAAAAATAAAAAGCCAAACTGGCATAAACAGTCCTTTGTGTGTTTCACATAGTTCTTTCGGCAATATTTGACTATAGTTGTATAAAATGAGATTTTTCTATTTCATAAATAGTCTGTATGCGACAACAGAACATATTCTGTCTAGGTATGATGGGCTCACTTGGTCGTGCTCTCTGTTGTCATTCTTTGCAGCTCTTGGCAGGAATAGTAGAAAGCTTTATAGAATCTGTAAATATTGTGTACAATTTCTGGAGTTAGCTACCTTGCCATTTTAGATATTAGCCTGATGGCAAAAAGATGTTGGATTCTGGTCACGAATAACAAGCAAGTCATGGCTTCTGTATTTTTTTGAATATTGTCTAATATTCAAAGTGAGAGTCATACCTTCCCCCCCCCCCCTCCGAGCGATGCATGAACTGTCCCAGTATCGGGGCACACCCATCTTCCTAGAGAGAGGGAACAGAGATCAGCCCCATTTCAAATGCCTGTGTGCAGATTCAAGGCTGCAAAGTTCACTCCTGTATTCATGTTGACAGTGAATGTCTGCAGCCACTCTTTGGGTTGTGCATCGGGTTTCTGTATTCCAGAAAAAGTCCATGTAGCACATTGGCTTTAAGACAACACATTTGGTTCCAATAGACCACCATATCAACTTGTCTAGCAAGGTGATCTCTATTAAAATTGAGGTGGGAGGAGAGTTGTTAGGAATGTACATCATGGTGGGTGTGCCTGTGAACCCCCTTTTAGACTGCATCAGCATTGGAAAGGAGAGTGGATGCCCATTTTCAAGAGACATCAGTTTTTGAATATTGGTTATTAACTGGGCTTTATATGTTTGAACAACATCGTGAGCTGTATATATTGTGGGGAAAGGAAATTAGGGTAAATTAGCTAGGGGATAAACTTCATGTCGTGAGTAAGCTTTCTACAAATTAAGGCTTGTGAGAAATGCGGCCACTTTCGTGCTTTCAGTTTCATTTACTTTGGCTGTAATTCAACAAGCCCATGTGGGATCAGTTGCTGGAACACTGAAGTTACACACTTAAAAAGCAGATGGTTTTCTGTAGCAAAATAGGCTACAAATGTGGTCTAGCAATTGTCATTCCAGATCTTTCAACCATGGAGTAGGTGAGGGAGGCAGCCAGTTAATTTGGGCAGCATTAAGCCCAAATTAGTAATCACAGCAAAGCTGTATGGCATCTTAGAACTATGTGTGCTGTGGGAAAATGACATTCAGTAGTAGGCCTGTTCTCTTTCAAATGTCTATGAGACACGATTACCTATCACACTTATTAATGCATTGGTTGCTATTTCAGTATCTATTTTAGCACACCCATTCTGATCTGCTTTGACACAATGTTAAGTCTGGCAACAAAATGCCTTGGAGGCAGGGTAGGAGAAAAATGGAAGAACACCAGTCATAGGTAGTGAAGATGGGCAAAAACTGGAGTGAACTGTTAGGGGGAAAAGATTATACAACAGAGTTCATGGGCTTTGGTACTTCTGTTGCATCTCAGGGATTGTGAATGGGGCGTGTGTCACGACAGAAAGCAGCTGGGGATTCACAGTTGAATACTCCTTTTCCTCCACTGTACCCCTTCCCTGGGAGAAGACTGGGCTGGAACTCTTTTCCCTTAACACATCTCGTTCTCTATATAATAAGGATAAAGGTAAAGGTTCCCTTGCTCGAAAGCCAGTCAAATCTGACTCTAGGGTTGCGGTGCTCATCTCCGTTTCAAAGCCGAAGAGCCAGTGCTGTCCGAAGACGTTTCCGTGGTCATGTGGCCGGCATGACTAAACACCAAGGTGCGCGGAACACTGTTACCTTCCCACCGAAGTGGTACCTATTTATCTACTTGCAATTTTTTGCTTTTGAACTGCTAGGTAGGCAGGAGATAATAAGGATATATAAGGATAATTTGCTTAACTCAATGAGAATCCAGTCCTACAATATGAAGTAATACAGGCCACTTCATTGCTATCTCGTATGTTTGTTTGTTTAAGCTTTTGGTGTGGTGAATTTGTGTGTTTCCAAACTGGTATGATTCAGATTGCAGCAGGAGATTGTTGTTGTTGTTGTCTTAAAGCACAGTCTTTACTCATTAAGAAGTAATTTCTGTTTATTCCATCTCCCTTTCTGTCTGTCTTTCTACTCTGGCTTTGCATGCACAGCACATGCATTCATATACTGATACAAGCTAGGATCTGGACTGGGATATTCCATAAAATGAAACATTTGCATTTATTGCCTTTTCATGTAATTTATTAGTTCTGGGTTTATTGGCTTACCCAGTGTCAGTGTAGCTGATTTTAGAAGCAAGGGGAGGGGACGTGTGTCTTTAATGGGTGATTTGTCTCCCATCTGAAGAAGAAGAATACCCCCAGCAGAGGCCTTTTCGAGGCAGTAAGTTACTTCTGCGGTCACTGGTTGCGCTGATTGTCTTGGCCTTAGCTCTTAATCAGCTGCAGAAGCTGTTATTGCCTCATATTCTTCTACAGAAAATATTACCCTTTAATCCCTGAAAATGATTAGTCCTGTAGATGCAATTTAGAGCCATGCAAATAAAGAAGTCCTCCCCTTTTCACCCCCACATTTATTTTGTTCTATGCAATCGCCAGTTGGTTGGAATCCAGAGTTTAGTGTAGCCAGCTGAAAGTCAGCAGATTGGATTACACACAAACCATAAGAGGGAAAAGGGGAAGCGTGCCCGTCAGCATGCAGGAGCAGGAATAGGAACTGCACGCTAATAAATGCTGTTGTCGTCATTAGCTCTGGGGTGGCTGTCCCCAACCTTTTTGAGCCTGTGGCACCTTTGGGATTCTTGACACAGGGTGGGTGGATGCAACCCCAAAATGGCTGCCACGGGACGGGGAGCTAACCACAAATGTCAGGGAGTGGGGTGATGGCATAATTCTGATGGTAACTCTTCAACATTTCACACAGATGCTCTGCCTAAGAATGCCTCTTTAAATGAATATACTTTTTAGAGATATTTTCCCACTTATACACAGCTTCTATTCCAACCACACAGTAAAAATCCCAGAGGGTACAGCTTGTCACGGCAGCTACTGCTGAAGAAACGGGTTTTGGAATCTGCACAGCCAACAGAAGCCCTGCTGGGCCCAAGCCCCAACTTGTCCCCACCCACTGCTAGGCCCAAGCCCCACCTGCCTCTATAAAAACACTTGGTAGGTGCCAGGAGAGCTGCCAGTAGGCACCACATTGGAGATCCCTGCTCTAGGGTGTGTAAGACCAGAGGGTAAAGGAGTTACAAGTTGCCAGAACTGATCGTAACTGTAGTGGGGCATGTGGTTGTATACCCCAGACCCAATTAATTACTGTGTTTTTTCTGTGGCATAGCTGGATATTCCCGGGTGGCATAGATGGCCCCAGGATTTCTTGGCATGCATTTGTGAGCCCAACAGTGTGGTCTGTGGGGAAGTGTGCTATATACAGCATATTTCCAGGCATGTCTTTGTTGGTTTCAAATTGTTTCATCCCATCAAAGAGCCTGTAAACTATGCCAATATTAATCCTATATTAGGAGTTGGGGAAGGTTTGCTTAAGGCTGCTCAGAGGGTCTGGTAACTTTGATTCAGTTTATTCTCTCATCTCATACACTACAGTAGTTCTTCTGTACCTGGGCGTAACGGACCAAAAGCTAGGTACGTTTTTCAGGTTTTGTGCTTGTTATGTGTAGTGACTGACTGTAACAGGCTCAGAGTGATGGCGTCTCCCCAAGCGAGGCAGAAGGGCATGGTTGGGCCTTAGATGTTCCCACGGCGACACAGGGAAACAAATTCCCTCGGGCACTTTCAGGCGGCCTGCGGGCCTTTATATTTTGCAGGTTCCCTCTGATGCCACAGCTAGATGGGGGGAATCTTACATAGCGTTGCAGGTTTTAGAATGAGCTTCCAGAACTCTTCTGCTGTGATTAGTCTTCCACGACAGTGGTCGATAGCATCTTTGGGAGGAGATGGGCAAAAAGAAAGATTATTGTTGAGAGAGATGCGGAAAATGCTAAGTCGTTAATTAAAGTTTTTAGTGCAGCAGTTTGAATTGGAGGCAATCTGAAGAGTCCAAGCAGGGTGTCTTCCTGGAATTAGAGTCCGTGGGACAGAAATAGAACTCAGTGGAAGAAAGAGACGGTGCAACTGACGATGAGGCATAAACATCCAAGCTGCCATTTCAGAGAGGAAAAGAGCATCTGTAGGAGATGGGGCGTGGGCAGTGTGTGCCTGTTCACAGTCGGAGCTCAAGTGGACACAGAGTTCTCAGTAAGGGAATTCCATCTGTAACTTAAAAACCCATGCTATATATATTTATATATATTCATATTCTCATATATATATGTATATGTATATATATATATATTTTAGGGGAGCTGCGGTGGCTCAAGTGGTTAAGACGCTGAACTGCAGGCTGTGGAAGGTCGGTAGTTCAGCAGTTTGAGACCCGGGTGCCGCATGATGCAGTGAGCTCCCGTCTCTGGCCCCAGCTCCTGCCAACCTAGCAGTTCAAAAGCAAGAAATTGCAAGTAGATAAATAGGTACCACTTCGGTGGGAAGGTAACAGCGTTCTGTGCACCTTGGTGTTTAGTCATGGCGGCCACATGACCACAGAGAAGTCTTCGGACACTGCTGGCTCTTCGGCTTTGAAATGGAGATGAGCACCACGACCCTAGAATCGGATTCGACTGGCTTTCAAGCAAGGGAACCTTTAGCTTTACCTATATATGTTTAGAACTCTTAATTTGTATGTGTTTGTTTACTTTGTGTATATCCCAGCTTTCTTCCCAGATGGGAACCAAAGCAGTTCATATCGTTTTCCTCTCCTCCATTTTATCGTCACAAAAGCCCCATGTGGTAGGCGATACTGTGTGTGTGTGTGTGTAACTGGCCCTGGGTCACCCAGCAAACTTCCACAGCAGAGTGAGGATCCTAATCTGAAACTCTAACCACTCCACTATGAGCAGCTCTTCCTATGTTTGTTCTCCAGTTGACAAATTCTTGAGACCAACTTATAA